TGTGTGTGTGTGTGTGTGCCGCACCAAGGTAAAGCACCTATCCAACGAAGCAACACCTCCTAAAGCACAACACAAAAAAAAAAGAAACGCAACACTAAATCATACACTTCTAACGACAATGTTACGCTCAATTTTTCCTTCCTCCTGTGTGTGGTTGTTTCTGTGTGTACGGGGGGAGGAAGCAATGCAATGATATATATATATATATATATATATATACACGCAATATTTAGCTGTTTGGCATGGTGCCACAACGTAGACCGCAAACAAACAACAAGAGAGAAGCAAGAAGAGAGAAGAAACAATGTTGCTGGAGTACACAATGAACGGCTGAATACAAAAACAGGGAAGCAAAATGCAGATGGATGGAGTGAGGGAAGAAGTAAGGGAAGAAAGGAGAGAGAGAGCGACAATCACAGATATAAATATATAAAGGGGACAGGAGTGAATGGGAGGGTGCGGAATTGGCCACAACGTAACACACACACATACACACACACGCGCGCACACAGACGCATATGTACACACATACACACCCCAGCACACACAGTATACGTAAGCAGCGCTCCTCTTTCCGCCACGCTCTCCGCTGCTGCCACTACGCGGGTTCGTGCAACGGCTACAGTAGCAGCAAGGCTGGGAGCAGCTGTGTGGGGTGCAAATAAAAAGCAAAACAAAAAAAACGGAAAGCACAGAAAAGGCTCCTACATCGCACAACGGCAAAAAAAAAGGGTAGAAGGAAAATAACAACAGCAGCAATAACGAAAACAGCAATAATAATAGCGACAAAGAGTATCAACAATGACAGTAGCCAGCAGTATGTGCTGGGCGTTACAAAGAGTTATATTTGGTGGCCTTCCCTGTACCCACGCACTCCTCTTCCCCTCCATAGTAGTGGTCATGGCTCCTCTTTGATGCACTCAACACGCACCACAGCTGCACAAGCACAAACACACACACACTCATATATATATTCCTACTATATGCACGTATATCATTACCTGTTGCGTTGTCATCCCCATTGTGTTCTCCCTCAGCTTCTACTTATTGTTATCTGCAGTACACACGCACACACACACGCATATATATATATATATATATA